TCATATGCTTTGTTGAAAAAGTAGGACATTTAAAATTGTGCGTTTATAAGTTTTGTGATAATTGTAGCATATTTTTTTAAATAATGCCACGTTTACGAAATATGATCGATCTTTCTGTTAGTAATGAAGAATACATTTTAAGCCGTAACACAATCTGTTTTTTAATTTTATATAACACGGAAATGTGTATCCACGAGTTCTAACAGCAAGTTTTTCTCAGAAGGTAATCAATTTGGGTTACATTTCTTTCTTTATTTAGAAATTTTATTTATTTACTATTACCGCAACATGCAATACAACAACTTGAAAAAACAACTTTACTTAACTCACAACTCATGTCAAAATGTCCCGCTGGGTTTCTTGCTGGTTCTTCCCAGAACAGAGGATTTTTCCGAACCAGTGGTAAAGTAAACAATGAATTTCAATAATAATTACCTGTAATCAATGTTGAATAAAAAATTATTCTATTCTATTCTATTCTATTCCATTCTATTCTATTTTATTCATACTCCTCATAGATTGCCTCATGGTGATATTTTGCCCGCCCAAGCGGGCTGCCAACTGCAGTTTTTTTATTATTTTGGGTTGTTATCAGGAAGATGCTGCTGCACATCTCCTGTTTAATTTTCTTCTGTCACCTCTTACGACATCTTTGGGACGATATGGGGTAGTGGATATTCTTTCATCGCAACTAGACGGTTAATAACCAAAAAATATCCCCACCATCATTTATGGTGATGAAAGTAGATATAGCATAAGAATCACGAGATTAGAATTAATGTCGTAGAAAAACGTTCAATAAGGAGTATGTTAGCAGTAGCTCCGAATTACATGGTGAGAAATTGTGTTATAAGGGAAAAGTGCGGTTTGCAAGATGATTTCTGACCAGGATTAAGAAAGCAATGCTTCGGTGTGTTGCTCATGTAGAGAGAATAAGTAAAGAAAGAATAACAATGAAAATTTATGTTGCAGAAGTACAGTAAAGTCGGCAGGAAATTCCCTAAACGAAAGTTTATCGATTAATTTAGCGTATTGAAGATAAGCCGAGCCAAAATAAGGGTACCCTTACCCAACGAGCATACATATATTATGTAAATGCGGCGAGAGAGTAGTGGCTAAATTGTACCAAATGAAAGTCCGTAGCCTATTGCCTACTCCTCTGGGCGGCAGGCGTGAGTGTTTATTTATTATATTTACACATCCTACAAAACGCCCTTGAAGTTTGAAGCAAATATCAAATTTGTTATTGGTGCGATATTTGAAGCAAATATCAAATTAAGAGCCCAATTCATTTTTTTTCTCCCTTTTTTATTTTTGGGTTTTTTGTCGAAACAACATGCCAATCCCATCATACCTCATACTAATTACTGAGTCAATACTGTAAAATAATATGCTATAAGTTGCGGATATATGTAAAAATAAAGCCAATAATTGCTAGAGTAAGAAAATTTTAAGTTGAATTGCAAAGGAAACTGATCCGACCTAAAGTCTTTGTAATCACAGCTTAACGAAACATTTCCATTTAACGGTCTGCGAAAGTATCTCTCTCAGCATACAAAGTAATTGGAATTTCTCGACCTAGAAAGCTAGTGAGGTTCGTTTAAAGTAGACATATATTGGAATGGAATATTCATCTCTGTCTTATGACATATGTACAACTAGTCAAATTCACATGATTGGTTAATAAAATTACTTGCCTCTACGAATATTTTAAAGTAATGATATGTTGTTATATAAGAACGCAGTACATCGTTAATTGTAAGCTGCACACTTGATCGCATAATATAATATACTGATGTTAACTACCTAAAGGAGATGAAGGTGTTTGCTTCAAATTGAACACACAGATAAAACTTGGTCTGTTTCAATATACTGAATGCTTTTTAGTACGTAAAATCAAACTTCCAAGAAAATGGACATGAGAGTTTTTCTGATTGACGATGGTACTGGAAATGCTAATTTTGTTAGTATCTGAAAGATATGGTTTTATGGGCATCGAGAATTTGTGAGAATTGTATAAATAAAATATTAGTATATTTTCGTCCTACTGCTGAGGAAATTTGCATATCTTTATCTACTATATAAAAATAAGTCGGGTTTTCCTTCCTGACGCTATAACTCCAGAACGCACGAACCGATTTCCACGGTTTTGCATTCGTTGGAAAGGTCTTGGGCTCCGTGAGGTTTATAGCAAAGAAAATTCAGGAAAATTTCAACAGAAAAGCGGGAAAATCTTTTTTCACATACAGCGCTATCTCTGATACATAGCATGTACTACAAACCAATATTTTAAGTAGATGGCGCCGGTGCGTTTTACGGATTTTATCGCGTATATTAACTTAATTTCAACTTTATTTTTTTTAATAACATTAATTTTGACAGTTTCATAAACAGATTAGTCAGACCTATGGTCAAGCCAAAGAGTATAGTAGGTCAGGCCAAAGACAATTTTTTTTAAATGAAGGTAAATATAACTTAGAGTCATTACTAAGTTCTTATCCAAATATAAATATTAATATAAAATAATAATAATAATTATTATTTTATATTAATATTTATTCGGAACATTCTTTCTTTTATATCTTTAGAGTCGATGATACAAATGAGCCAAATGAAACATATCAGTGTTTCGGAATATTTCAGTGATCAAGATGCAAATGTTCCAATCCCAAAAATGATACATTTTGCCCACCTCCACAGTGTACCGTACAAGGTAGATGAATAACTAATTTTATTTCTAGAAAATTGTATTGATGTCCAACGTCCACGACAGCGAAATATGATAGTAGGTACGAACGGGACATATTATGCAAAAATACCGATACGAGTACAATAATAAACATAAATAAAAATATTTATCTTTGTACTGACTAATTTAGTAACCATTAAACAAATACAGCAATTGTTAATGGAATATTTTCCTACAAATTATTGTGTGTATTTTATTTAATTCTGACCTAGAGATTTAGAGTAAATTGACGGTTCTCATACCTAGCCTAATTTGTAGCATTTTGACTCTCTTATCATGCTATGCTAGGAAATTGTCGAATTCCCACTAACCCTGTATAATATGGTTTTTAGCGGGAGAGTAAATTAATTAGATTTTTGTGTTTGATTAATAAACATCGTTTCATAAATTCGTACCCATGTTTTATTGAGCTAAAACATACCTTATAATTATCGCTTACGTAATATTTACAAATACTTACATAATCAAATTAATAACTTAAGTATAACAACGCATAGGCGTCAATTTTACGCTTGGCATAATGGGCATTGAGCGATACACGTGCTCTATACCTTCCTTATTTGTACTCTAAGTTCTGAATACTCTTTATTTATTGTTCTAAGGGGGCCATTAATTAAATTACTTTATTATATACTCTTTGGAGGGGATCATATTTCTGACAAGTCAGAAATCCAAATGGATTTTTCGGATTTTGAAGGGTATTTCATGTGACAAACCGGTATTGTGTTCACTGTGAAATTGTGAAAAAAAAGTAAAAAAAATTAGTTATTCGTTTCCTAACATTTACCATCAAATCAATCACGTGTATTGTGCAAATTTTTATTCAATTTCAACAGCAGGCATTTGTCTTTAATGTGGTAAGTTGAACTGTGTAAATTATGTGGATCGTGCATTTGAGGTTAAATTCACCACTCTGTCCATAGTCCAAGATGCCTAGAGGACGACGTGTGAACATCGGCCGCCGCACAAGACATGCAAGCCAGCAACAAGCGTATTCACAGAACTTAAGCGAAGAAAGACAAAATATAATAAGAGAAAATGCCCGATTGAGACAACGCGTGAGCACACGAAAATCATTGGCATCATACAATCGCTTGGCATTCCAATATGATCCCACTGCGAACTACAGTGATGATGAAAATTTAGATATTGGACCAATGACGACTATATGCCGATATTGCAATGCGTTAAAGTTCAAAAGAGAAACGGCTGGATTGTGCTGCGCAAGTGGAAAAGTCAAACTGGATCCATTACTTACATCACCACAGCCACTGCAACCATTGTTCGATGGAAGTGATCCCGATTCCAGCCATTTTCTTCAACACATCCTTGAATACAATAACTGCTTTTGCATGACTTCCTTTGGAGCTAATATCATTCGAGAAGGCGGCTTCATGCCGACTTGCAAGGTAAAAGATACAAGACACATAACCAATCACTCACACCAACATAATGAATTGCAACACATAACAACTACATATACACCACACACTACATCATCACACGATCAGAAGTTACACCGTATTCTTCAACAAATGATTGTTTGCAATTACAGATACAAGGACAAATATATCATTTGCATGGTTCAATGGTGCCAACACCAGATGAACCGCATCAATTTCTGCAAATATATTTCATTTCGTCGATGGTGGATCAGCTGAATGTGCGGTGCAATATACAGGGAACACAACAGTTAAAGAGACGAATTATTGAACAGTTGCAAGCATTTTTTCACGCTAATAATGCTGTGGTTAATATGTTCAAAACAGCATTGGAACGAATGCCATCGGATACGCACAAATTTGTCATAAGAGCTGATTGTACCCCAACAGGTGAACATGTGCGAAGATTCAATGCACCCACCGTTAATGATGTTGCTGCAATTATTGTTGGCGATCCAACTAAGTCGCGAGACATTGTCGTTCAGCGAAGAAGCAATATCATGCATCGTGTAAACGAGACACATCGTTTGTACGATGCGTTACAATATCCAATCATTTATTGGCAAGGGCAAGACGGATACGAAATTACGTTGAAGATGGTCGATCCAATTACAGGTACAATATTCACACACTAATTATTGCTATTATTGGTTTCCATTAACAATTCATTTAATTTTGCATTTTCAGGCATATCAACGAATAAAAATCTAAGCGCAATGAATTACTATGCGTATCGTATGATGATTCGTACACATGAGAAGAATGTCATTCTGAAGTGCCGTCGGCTATTCCAGCAATTCGCTGTCGACATGTATGTCAAAGTCGAGACCGAACGTTTAGCGTTCATCCGATTCAATCAGGCAAAGCTACGATCTGAGGACTATATACACTTGCGTGATGCTATTCATTCAGATGGTGATGTTCAAAATATTGGACGCCTGACGATTCTCCCATCATCTTATATCGGAAGCCCACGCCACATGCACGAATACGCTCAAGACACTATGACGTACGTGCGAAATTATGGAACTCCGGATTTATTTATTACGTTCACATGCAATCCGAAGTGGACGGAAATTGAACGTGAGTTGGAACCGGGCCAAAAACCGCAAGATCGCCATGACATAATCGCCAGAGTATTTCAGCAAAAACTCAAGGTTATGATGGATGTGCTTATTAAGTATCGAGTTTTTGGTGATACACGTTGTTATATGTACTCGGTGGAATGACAGAAGCGTGGACTACCGCATGCTCATATCCTAATTTGGCTGCTGAACAAATTACATTCAAATGAAGTGGATTACATCATATCAGCTGAAATTCCTGATCCAGTCACTGATCCCCATCTACACGACATTGTGACGACACACATGGTGCACGGACCGTGCGGTGCATTAAATCCATTATCGCCTTGCATGGCTGATGGAAAGTGCACAAAACGATATCCGCGACCGTTAGTTACTGAAACAGTCACAGGGAACGATGGATATCCAGTTTATCGTCGGCGTTCAAAAGAACATAATGGTCGAACTATCAAAGTTAAAGTTCAAAATCAAGAGATTGAGATCGGAAATGAATTCATTGTACCATATTGCCTGCTGCTATCACGAATTTTCGAAACACATGCAAACGTTTGTCATTCGGCCAAATCAATCAAATATTTGTGCAAGTACGTCACAAAAGGCAGCGACATGGCTGTGTTTGGTATTGCGTCGGAAAATGCGAATGACGAAATCAGCAACTTCCAAATGGGCAGATACGTCAGTACTAATGAAGCACTGTGGCGATTATTGTCATTTCAAATTCATGAAAGATGTCCCACAGTTATACATTTAGCAGTGCATTTGGAAAATGGCCAAAGAGTTTACTTCACTGAGGCTAATGCGGCACAACTAGCTGAGAGACCACCATCGACAACATTGACTAGCTTCTTTGCAATGTGTGAAGCAGATCCATTCGCAGCGACGCTGATGTACGTTGAAATGCCCAAGTATTACACTTGGAATCAATCAACAAAGAAATTCCAACGTCGCAAACAAGGAACCCCAGTTCCAGATTGGCCACAGGTGTTTTCCACTGATGCACTAGGTCGCATGTATACTGTTCATCCTAGAAATGATGAATGTTTTTATTTGCGACTGCTGTTGGTAAATGTACGTGGACCAAAATCATTTGCGCATTTGAAAATTGTGAATGGCCACCAATGGCAAACATATCGAGAAGCATGTCAACTATTGGGTTTGCTGGAGAACGATTCTCATTGGGATTTAACACTTGCGGATTCAGTTGTTTCATCAAATGCGTACCAAATACGAACTCTGTTCGCAATTATCATCACCACATGTTTTCCTTCACAACCAATTCAGTTATGGAACAAATACAAAGACGACATATGTGAAGATATCTTGCATCGCTTGCGCATTCAAACGAATAATCCTGACATCCAAATAACCGATGAAATCTACAATGAAGGATTGATTCTGATTGAGGATCAATGCTTGACTATTGCAAACAAGCTACTGATTGAAGTAGGAATGATTGCGCCAAATCGATCGATGCACGATGCATTCAACCAAGAATTAAATAGAGAGCTGCAATACAATGTTGATACATTGCAGGAATTCGTTCGAAATAATGTGCCGTTGCTGAATGACAAGCAAAAAAAAGGATACGAAACATTAATGCAAGCGGTGGACAATAATACTGGTGGTCTATTCTTCCTGGACGCACCTGGAGGAACAGGGAAAACATTTGTCATTTCATTGATTTTGGCCACTATTCGATCAAGATGTGACATAGCTTTGGCCTTAGCATCATCTGGAATTGCGGCGACTCTTCTAGATGGCGGTCGTACTGCACATTCTGCGCTTAAGTTGCCACTCAATTTAAACACAATTGATACTCCAACATGCAATATTTCCCGATCCAGTGCAATGGGAAAATTGTTGATGCAATGCAAGCTCATTGTTTGGGATGAGTGCACAATGGCACATAAGAAATCACTTGAAGCACTTAACTTCACACTGAAGGATCTTCGGCGAAATAACAACATCTTTGGCGGTTTGATGATATTGTTGGCAGGCGATTTCAGGCAGACGTTGCCAGTAATTCCCCGTGTAACGCCTGCAGATGAATTGAATGCTTGCCTGAAGGCATCACCTTTATGGAATAACGTAAAAACATTATCGCTAACCACTAATATGAGAGTTCAACTTCAAAATGATCAAAGTGCTGCACAATTTTCTAAACAATTGTTAGCTGTTGGAAATGGAAAAGTCACAGTTGATGCAACATCTGGATTAATTACTCTTACCAACGACTTTTGCCGATTTGTAGACTCTCAATTAGCTCTTATTGAAAATGTTTTCCCAAACATTAGTGATAATTATCAGAATTATGCTTGGTTAAGTCTACGAGCAATTCTCGCCGCAAAGAATAATGATGTACACGCACTGAATTTCACCATTCAATCAAAAATTGCTGGCGATTTGTTGACATACAAATCCGTTGATTCCATAACAAATCCCGATGATGTAGTAAATTATCCAACGGAGTTTTTGAACTCTCTGGAGTTACCAGGATTTCCACCACATAACTTGCAACTCAAAGTTGGTACAGTTATTATGATATTGCGTAATTTGAATCCACCGCGACTTTGCAACGGTACTCGACTCTCGGTGAAAAGACTTATGCCGAATTTGATTGAGGCAACCATTATTAACGGAAAGTACGCAGGTGAAAATGTATGTATTCCTCGAATACCAATGATTCCGACTGATCTTCCGTTTGAATTCAAGCGATTGCAATTTCCAGTTCGCCTTGCGTTCGCAATGACAATTAACAAGTCACAAGGCCAATCGCTTAGTGTTTGCGGGATCAATTTAGAAAACCATTGTTTTTCACATGGGCAGTTATACTTTGCGTGTTCACGAGTTGGGAAACCATCCGCTTTGTTTGTGTTAACGTCAGACCAAAAAACAAAAAAATGTGGTTAACCAAAGAGCACTTCAATGAAACGGATAATTTGCGGACACGTATAATAACGCTTCGATTCAGTATTTACTTTGGATTCACTTTCATTTACTTAGAGAAGTTCAACTAAATAACACTTCATTTTTGTAATCGAAATGAATTCATTACTGTTGTGAAATGAAATAAAATGTTTCCTTTTCAAATATAAAACAAAAATAAAATTTTTCTTCATCTTTTAATCACCAAACGAATAGTTACATAAAACGAAGCCACCTGGTGGCGAAACGGAGTTCGCCGGGTTCGCTAGTTTATAATATAAAAATATAATCGCTGAATGTGTTGCTAAGCGCAAATCTCGAGAGCAGCTGAACCGATTTCGCGAATTATTTTTAATAATATTCCTTGAAGTACTAAGATGGTTCTAACTGAGCGAAAAATTTAAACATTGCCTGAAAAGGTCTAAAAATAATACTTTTCTATATTACCATATAAAACATTCGTAATAATACTTAAAAGTCAATTTGAAATTTAATACCATACCAGAAAGTTTAAGTGTTAGTGGAGGGGTTCCGGAAAGGCAAAACAATTGAGTGACGTTAGTATCGTATAAATATTAATGTCAATATTTGTCAATATTTATACACACTGGGAGATAGCTGATGTTACAAGGATTAACTTGGGCTGCTTTTATTTTAGGGTTCCGCGAAAAATAACTCCACGCGGGTGAAGTCGCGGGGAACAGCTAGTAATATAATATAATAAATAAATAAATAAATAAAATAGCTTTTATTGTTTCCTTACTTTACATTTCGCTTTTACATTTTGTTTAAGTAATACACAATCAGCAGTACATTTCTAATTTAGGTGCTTAAGACTAACATGCACAAAATTAATACTTATATGTTTAGTTTTAGCAAACAGTATAGGTAAAGTTATTACCACATAAATAAATAGTGAGAAATTTACATTCTTTTCTGCCGACTTCCAAAAAGGAGAAGGTACTCAATTCGACGCGTATGTTTTTTTTTATGTGTGTTACCTCATAACTTTTTACTGGGTGGACCGATTTCGATGATTCTTTTTTATATGAAAGCTGATACTTCTCGTGTGGTCCCATATGAATTTGAGTAAGTTCAAACCAATAGTTTTTGAATTATTTGAGTTATTCTTAATAACTTATATTTAAGTCGGCTGTACAAAATTTTTAATTTTAAAATATTACATTTACGTTATATTACATTACAATCACATTATTTTTACGTATATCTGATCGTAAGGTCAACGCATGCCGAATAAAGCATTCGAGTGCTACTTTTTCTTCCAACTTGAGGACAGTCATCACATCACGCTTGGCAGGTTGACGATCGCAGTACCAAACTTCTCGTACCTTTGACGCTGACTGTTTTTTCATTGATATGGTTATTTTAAGTCTGGCAAAAATAGATGGTTAATACTGCCGTCTATTAGAAGACATATAATCAAGCAGTTCCCACTGTTGTCTCTTAAAAACCCACGGGATGAATAAAGTGATGGATTCTCTTAAGATTCCACCACACAGTAACCGTTACTGTTACCGTTACAGCGTATTAGAGTCCACTGCTAAACATAGACCTCTCCCATAGATTGATTCATCAACTATGGCAACGTTGGGTAACCGGGTTGGCAACCACAGTTTATTTTTATTTTTAGTCGTTATTACGAAGACGCTGCTGCCCATCTCCTGGTTTGTTTCCCTCTGTCGTCTCTTACGACACCCACGGGATGATATGGGGTAGTGGATATTCATACACCGCCCATACATGGTAACACCGCCAACCGTACGCTCTATGTGTATATCAGGAAATCAAATCAGGGATCATATCAGGGATCATTGTAGAAGCGTGCTCGTCGCGACCCCTGCCAGCCCTTTTCAGGGCTGCAATTCTACTCAGCTGCGCACCCATGCCAACGAGGGTTAGGGCGTCCCCCCAAGGCGACGCACACCAGCTCGTCCCCGTTGGTGTGGAATGCAGCGCGCAAAGCGGCGATGGGGACCGCCACCCGTCACGCACAGCCCGACACGGCGGAAGGTGGAGGACAGAGTGCAGAGTTGGCACGTGGAATGTTAGAGGAGGCATGAGAGATAAGACGAATGAGTTGATCGAAATAATGAAAGAAAGAGAATTAGATGTCGTGTGTATGTCGGAGACCAAACGGAAGGGCAGTGGTACTGAAGAGCTCCTTGGCGGGGCGTTTGCTCTATGGTCCGGAGTCCCGG